GCCAGGGCCCCCCACCCTGCCAGCAACCCTGCTCAATCCTGGGCTCCTCTCTCCATGGGCCACAGCCCCTGCCACGACCCTGCTCCAGGATGGGCTGCCCATGGGCTCACAGCCTGCTTCGGGCATCCTGCTCCGGTGGCTGCAGGAGAAGCTCTGCCCCGCCATGACCCTCCATGGCTGCAGGGCACAGCCTGCCCTCACAGCATGGGCTGCTGGGGAATCTCTGTTCCGGGGCCTGGAGCACCTCCTCCTCCTCCTTCTCTACTGACCTGGGGGTCTGCAGAGCTGTTTCTCACTTCTTGCTTGCTGTCTGTGAAATCTCCTCTTCTGTTTTGTTTTTTTTTTTTTTTTCCCTCCTTCTTAAACATGTTATCACAGAGATATTATGACTCCGATTGGCTCATCCTTGGCCAGCTATGGGTCCGTCTTGCAGCCGGCTGGCATTAGCTCTGTCAGATATAGGGAGGATTTTAGCAGCTTTTCACAGAAGCCACCCCTGTAGCACACCCCTCACCACCACCTCCCCCCAAAAAAAACTTCCAACCAATCACCAAGAAACCTTGCCACAAAACCAATACACCATTTTCTAAACAGATAATAATTTCTTTGAAACATGGAGGAACTTGATGTCTTGTAGTCCCTTTGCATCCCTTCTTTTGTCATATATACTGCAAGAATTACTGGGGTTTTTTTGAGGGACACCTGTGATTTCTTAGGAGCCAGAAAGATGGTTCCTGATCACGTCTGTCTGCTCTTCTGCTGAATCTGCCATAAGCTGTCACTTCATGCTGTTACTACAGCAATATATAGATGTAAGAGTAAGACTTGAGCTACCTTTCAGATGACTAAAAAGAAAGGGAGAACAAGCTTTCAGACTTGCTGTGAGTACTTGACATGTAAACCCAATTCTAAGAACTTTTTTTGGTAAGGCTAACAAGGACAGAATTATTCAATTTGGATATTTTTAATTTTTTTTTTTTTAATTCAGTGATGATGTGCTTGGAACATGGTTTTGGTTTTTACCATGTTCATGTTTTAAATATTTGAATTTTTAAAGGATGGCTTAGCTCTTTATAAGGATCCACTATGTGTGTGGAATTACAAGCATATTTCCCAGTTCCTTTATTGTTTTTACACTGATTTCATGGGTCTCTGTAAAATCACGATTTTGATACTGTTTTCCTTGCTCCGAGAAACTTAAATATTATCATTGTGTCTTTTCATGCAGCTCACCAAGTCTCATCGTCAAGGTCATATGGTGAAAGTGGACTGGCTGGACAGACTGACCTTCAGAGAAATTGAAATGATCAATGAGGTAGCCCATCATGCATGACATTTGTAATGTTTTTGAGGATCTTGCTAATATGGAACGTTTGCTTGCTTATGAGACTGGCTCAAAGCACTCGTCCTATTTTTCTTCAACCACCAGTGTATATGATAAAAAGAAAAGTCATTAAGTTTCCAAATTTAATTGTACTTTAGCAATAATGAGAACAGACGGCTATCTTATTGGTTGTCAGCTTCAAGTGAACTTAATCATTCGTGGAAGAGGTAATTCATTAATAACTTGGAATAGCTTGGAATAAATGCTGCAAGGTATGACTGACTTAATTCTGGGATGTACACTGGTATGGGAAACTTTCTGGACATAAAGGCTGTACCTTGGTTGTACACCTGTTCAGCTTTACCAGTTTTGATTTTGTGTGCTGAGGAAAAACACTTCTAAGTTTGAAAGAATATTACAAAAAATAAAAATCTGGTAGTTAAGTACCTGAATGAGATGTTAACCCTCACTGAGCAAAATCACTCTAAAACTGTTAACTGATTGTACTCATCTTTCACAGCAGGACTGCTTTGTTTTCTGCTTTGTGTCCTGAGATTTTTCTTACTTACAGTTAGACATGGGGGAATCTTATTTTAACTTAAATTTTAGTGTTGGTATACCCTTATGAATCTCTTTTTGAGAACTCAATCTACACTTTTTTTTTCTTCCTTTTCTGTAAAAGTACTGAAAACTAAAAATTCCTGATTTCTGGAGCTGTGCCCTAAATGCAGGAGCACTTTGCCTTTGCTGGAAAATCAATCCATCATTAATGCATGAAACAAACTTGAGTCGCTTGTTACTGAAGGGGATGCTTTTTTGATTAAATGTATGTTCCTGGTAGGGGTTATGTATAACTTCCTTCTTGTTTACCATGTATATTTTAAAATTCTAAGCACTCTTTCTGGGTAAATCAGTTCAAAAATGCATACATGAGCAAATATTCCTCTGAAAGTGAATGAGCTGCAAATGTAATCTTGTCGTCTGCGTTTAATTTGTCTCTTTTGTAGTTTTATCTGAAACAGCAAATTTTTTTTTGTCCTGTGTGTTTTTTTTTTTGTTTGGGTTTTTGTTTGTTTGTTTTGTTTTTTTGACTCTGACATGCATCACTGTGTGTTAAGGATTTAAAACCAAACCAAAACACACAAAAGCCAAGACTATCAGCTGGTTTTTCTTCATTGCTTTTTACAGACCTTCTGTCCACAGTTGCAAGCCACTGATGAACACAGTGTGACTTTAGTCTGTTACATGTGGATGTTTATCATGAAGTGGGACTGTAAGGAAGTAAGACTGTCAGAAAGAAGGTGGTGTGGTCTCAAGTAGTGCTATGAAAGGATTACCTGAATAATTGCTACAACAACTGGTAATCTAATTATTCAAGTTAGAGCACAAAGGAAGTAGGGTAATTGCTGCACTGAGAATGCTGAAGTTTGATGCACTTTAATAAATGATACACGTCTGTGGTCGTTCTCTTTTCAGAGGGAAAAACGAAGTTCTAACTTTATGTACCTGATGATTGAATTCCGTTGCGTAAAGTGTGATGATAAAGAATATGGAATAGTTTACTACGAAAAGGTATGTGCCTTGCAGGCTTTATGGTTGTCTTTAAAAAGCAACACATGCACCTAAAATGGATAGGTTTTTCTGCTGAGGTGAAATATTCCGCTGCAGGATAGCGGCAGACAGCTGTCAGTGGCAACTGTTTATCTGCATACAAATCG